TTATCTAAAATATAAAATAATTTACGCAATTAAACAATATGAAAATATAATCTCTGGTGATTATAATGTCAGTTCTGCTTTGGGTTGTAACCTTCAACCTATCTTTTCTGTTACCTCTTTCTTTTCTGGATTCTGAGTGTTTTAATTTTTATTTATTTATTTATTTAGCTTGGATGGTCTCTCCGAGTTTGTTCTGCTTGTCTTGTTCATTTGTTGTAGAGATCTTTGCTTTCTGCTACACTTCAGAGGCTGTATTAGTTACCATTAGAGCCACTGTTGGGAAACAAAATGTTGACGGAAATGTCATCGTTTTCTTCAAGGTGTTTGCTGTTGTATAAAACTTCTGTCAATACATCAATAATACAACCCTAAACAAAATATCTGGATGCCTTCAAAGTTATACAGATAGAATTCCACAGCGGATCACAGAGAGTAAGGATTCCAAAGAGCTTGGCTGAGCATCGGCCTCGGAGAGCTGGCTTTTTCATCTCTTTCTTCTTTCCGCACGTTCTGCTAACTCTCTTTAACCCTGTGAATCTCTATTGGTCTGGTTTCTAATTTGTAGTCCCTTTACATTGGCCTTAAAGGAAGAGGCATGATTCTCACCCCTTACATATATGCATGTGTATTATACAGAAAAAAAAAAGTGAATCTCGGAAAGGCCAAGTATGAGTCATAAACTTTTGTCTAAGGCACTGTAATGTTCTCAAGTTGGGATGTAACTTTCTCAAGTTGGTTTGTGTCAAAGAATGACTAATCAATTTGCTCTTTTTTAGGCACTATTATACACAGCTGATTTTTTGCTTTATTCTGGGCTGAGGCAGATGACTCCTTTTCATTCATTCATTCATTCATTCACTTATTTATTTATTTGCTTGTTGTTTGTTTATAGAGACATGGTCTCAGTATATAAACTAGGTTGGCTTTGAACTTTTACACTTTTGCCTCCCACAGATAGGATTACAGACACTCACTACCATGCCCAGTCCCTGACATGTGTAGAGATGCTGGAGTCCATAGAGAATAATGTATAAGGGAATGGCAAACAATGGGTCAATAAACTGTAACAAGATCTGCAAATTCAAAAAAACAAAAAAAAGATCTGTAACTTCGTTGGTATGATAGCTAAGCTTCATAAAACTCTGAGCCACGGATCTACCATTGACTGGTAGATAAACAAAAAAAGCACTGATTGACTGCTTATAGATTTCTCACTTAGGACACACACACACACACACACACACACACACACATAATTTTTTTTTTTTTTTTGAGAAAGGGTTCTTTATGTAATATTCTTTTGTGGACCAGGCTGGCCTCAGACTCACTGAGCTCCACCTGCCTCTGCCTCCCAAGTGCTGGGATTAAAGGCGTGCACTACTTCCACTCGGCATAACTAAAATTTTAATTGCTCTTACTATCCCTATTTTATAAACAAGGAAAGTAAGTTGTAAAGTGATTAAGAATTTTCTGGAAAAAAAAAGGATTTTTTTTTTTTTCGAGGCCAGCCTGTTTTACAGAGTGATTTCCAGGACAGCCAGGGCTATGAAGAGAAGAGGAAGCCCTGTCTCAAAAAACGAAAATAAGTAAATAAGTCAATAAATACATTTTCCCCCCTAAGGTTGCTTAACATCAGGATTTCAACTAGGATTATAAAAGGAGGCAAAATAGATGAAACACAGTTACTTATGTAGATAAATCCTTGTGTGTGCACATTTATGTACGTATTTAAATTGACCTTCCTCAAAAGAAGGCTAGGAAACTGGACAACTAAGGCCCCGAGGAGGACCTTGCTTGTGAGGCCAACCTGGGATTGAAAACAAGCAAAGAAGTGTTGATGTAGTTCAACACTAGCTGTTTGCATTCATAACCTTAGATTATAGAAATTAAATAAATTCTCTGAAAGTTGCGTTTTTTTTTTTTTTTGGTCTAGTTGCATTTTAAATTTTTAAGCACCATTGGAATTTAAAATTCCTTGATACTCATTCTCAAATGAAATAATAAAAATCTGGAAATCATTTTAAAAAAGGGTAAAACAGAACATTAAAGTTAGTCGTTAACTTCCTTTTCTTCCTTAGTCATGAGGACTGCCCCATTCACCACACTGGAGGCAGGAATTCTATTGCTTCCAGGAGCCAGTAATTCTGGTGCATACAGTGTGTCTGGCATAGAGAACCTATTCAACAAATGTCCTGGAGAAGAATATTGAATTGACTTATAGAACAACATGATGCTCAAGGCAAATGGACCACTAACATGCAATGTATTTTTTTTAAAGTATAATTATCTCAATTCTAAAGGCTCCATGGACCCACCAGTTCTCAGTAAATAATGACTTGCAAAGAATGGGTTCAGTCCACCCTTCCTGATGCTTTCATGCATCAGCCCTGGTTACTTAGCCCCTTTTGTTGTCAGAGATTGCTAAACTAGAATGCAAAATCTTGGAGTATAATATTCGAGGAGACTATGGAACAAACTAAAACTGTAATTTTACTTTTTATTTATGCCATGACTTTTTATTTTTTGTGACCATATGCTTTATAAAAAATAACTTATTCACACTGATATCTTTTAATGTATAGGTAAATATGTAAACGTTTACCTCCTATACACACATACGCTTTTCTGATAGTGTTGGGTAAAATGAAAATTTGATCACTGTAACTTTATATAATTAATTTATGTTAAATGTATTCAACAATATCCTCGTGACCATAAAAATAAAGTATGTTTTCCTGTGGTGGAAGTTGGAAGTAGAAGTGGGGAGTGGGTTAGCTTTTCATATTTTTCATCGTATATAATGGACTAAAAGTAAGTTATAACACTCCACCCAGCAATTAAATATTACCAATTCTTACTGTTTTTTTTAACCCTTAAAAAAGAAGTGCCTTGAACTTCTTTGAAAATTTTCCCTCCAACTGCCTCTGGTCTCAGAAGTTTGTCACTTGGAAAACAGGGCCTTCTAGCTGTTCAAAACCAATGAATGTTCTGTGCCTAATTTTCTTCATCACGGATATTCTGTGCCTGCCTAGTTTGGCCCAGCCTCCTTTCTCTTGTGGGAAAAAAGAGATGGCAGTTAGCAGTGTATGTGAATGAGGGACACTTGTTTCTTTCTGTGAACTGAATGAAGAGGGATATTTTATTACCTTCAGTATTATCACCTTAAATATTATGGTTTTATTGGATTTTTCCTTTAAAATTTATATTTTCTAAAGAATAAACAGAACACCACATCTCTACACACGACTTTATTTTCTAAAACTTTACAAACTTGCTTTTTTCTTTATTATATCTTTTTTTTCCACGCTTACACAAACATTTATTTATGGCTGTGGGAAAAATATCTTAGGGAGGCATCAAAGAAATAAAACGGATGGGACGAATGTAATGGTCTATGCTTTTACTCTTAGCACTCTGGAGACAGAGGCAGTGGAATCTCTGTGAGTTCAAAGCCAGCCTGATTTGCATAGTGAGTTCCAGGCCAGGCAAGGCTACAAAGTCAGACTCTGTCTCAAAAAATGAAGAGAAAAGGTTATCTTATTCAGTTTTCTTTTAAAGTTTAAACTATCATCTAGGCTATAAAAATCATACTATTTAATCTTCAAAACTGTTTATATTTAAGATTCTTGGAAAATTTGGATCTTGGTCAGAAGGAACCCCAGGAAAGCATCTGGGTCCTAGAATAGTGCCAACGCGTTGTAGATGCTGAATAACCATTTAATGAAGGCAATCTTGGAAAAGCTTATTTTAATCTTCAAATAAAAACTAAAATCAAATCTAAGAATGAAAGAGACTAAAAAAACCTCATTTACTCAAGATTGCTCAACTAGTTAAGAACTTAAGTGTGAATCTTATTCTAATTCTTAGGTTTGACTTTTTTTTCAATAACCTTTTGGCTTGTTTTTATCAAACTGTTAAACATGATCTGCCAAAGATGCAGCATAGGAAAAATATCATCAAAACTAGGTGTCATGGGACTGAAGAGATGGTTCATCCTCTTCCAGAGGATCCGGGTTCAACTCCCAGCACCCACATGGTAGCTCACAACTCTTGTCTGTAACTCCAGTTCCAGGGGACCTGATACCCGTGGCAAAAATATCAATACATGTGGGGAAAAGAAGGCCAGGTAACACATCCACCACCATCTCTACATGTCACCAAACATACAGTAGTCACATACGGCGGGAAACATATAAAGCAAAGGGCTACACAATATATACTTTAAAATGTAAATCTTGGTTATTTTGAACCAAAAGGCCTATTTCTAATGCAAACAGTCAATAGTCATTTTTCCACGAGGTGTTTACTTTTCAGCATATCTCATGTGCCCACACAGGTGATTGCCCCCCGACTTTTAAGTGCACATTTGGCTGTTTTAGCAAAAGGCTTATCTTTGTTTCTGTGAGTTGTATTGATTTTTTTCTCTGAATTTGCCTACGAATGAGGCATTAACAATCTGGATGCATTCTAGTTTTGATAAACTTATCTTGCACTACTTTGGCCTATGTGATGGTTTACCCATTGACAAAAGAAATTCAAGGTGATAAAAGCGTTTCTCGGCCACTTGTTAGCAGGCCGGGATGTAAAATCATAACACAATGCTCGCCTCTTTCACGGGGCAGCACAAGGCAGCGATCAACCCCCCCTCCCCTCACTTCCATATCCAGTGGAGTTGTAGTTTATTACCATAACCCTCCCAAGTCAAAAGGACACCAGTTCCAAGCCTGGCAACTTGGTACAGAGAGGGCTTCTCCCCTGATCCTCACTCCGCCGGGCTTCTCTACCTGTCCTCGCCCACTGTCTACAGGTCCCGAACATTAGAAAATAGAAAATGTGATGATCTTTGTGTGTCTCTGTGAAATGTGTGTATGTGTGCGTGTGTTTGGGTGTAACGCGCCTCCTGTTTGGCTGCGCCGCCCGTCCGTCACGGCGCGGGCCAATGGCAGGCTGCCTTATATAAAATGAGTGTTTTCAGTCTCTCCGGGTTGCATGTACTGTATGTGGAGCAGTGTACAGTGGAGCGGAGGCAGCGCGGCTCCGCGAGCTCCTCTCCACTTTCCCATAGAGAGCCCCTGACTGGCCGCTGAGGGCGAGCCACACACACGCCCTCGCGCCGCGGCGAGCCCGCGAGGTAGGCGCCCGCCATCCGCAGCCTTCGCGGGCGCTCTCCCGCACTTTCTGTTTTCCGACTCACTTGCGAGCCGCCGGGGCTGCAGCCCGAGGACTCCGCGGCTGGAGCGGCGGCAGCCGGTAGGGTGGACTTGAGGAAGGCGAGGGGAGCCCGCGCGTCCG